CTCTTACCAACTGTGCTGTCATGCAAGTATGAATGTGTGTGTGTGTGTTGCAAGTCAAGTATATATTTTTAAAGCTGAGTTTATATACCAGCTAGATCAAGATAGTCCTGAAGTTTAGATACCAGCTTGATCGAGATCAAGATAGTCCTGAAGTTGAGTTTAGGTACCAGCTAGATCAAGATAGTCCTGAAGTTGAGTTTAGGTACCAGCTAGATCAAGATAGTCCTGAAGTTGAGTTTAGATACCAGCTAGATCACGATCAAGATAGTCCTGAAGTTGAGTTTAGATACCAGTTAGATCACGATCAAGTTAGTCCTGAAGTATTCAAGGGTATTAATGAATAAGTGACTTTGAGAAATATCTATCACAAAGATTAGATTATAAATACAGGTGAACAGTGAAACATCAAGAAGATAGAAAGTTGTTTTTTTTAGCCAGTAGAATGGATCATTTGGTGTGTTAAAATTTTTGGATCTATCTTAGATATTGAGAATATTGAGTTTCTTTGTACAAGTGAGTTGTTTTTTAAATTGGGATGGTGCAGATAGCATGGACATAAATGTAGATCTACAACAAGTTACAAAGCGTACAAACCTATAAAGAAATATTAAAGAGGAAATAAAACTAATTTGGTATTGTTACATGTAATTAAAAGTTATCTAAATTTTTCATTCTGTAAATATTGGTGTTTCTATTAAGCCTTGTACTTCACTTAAAGATGTTTTTGAGCACTATAAGGATATATTCTTTAGAAAAATATTGGGTGCTTTTAATCAAATTTGTTATAAAAATTGTTCTTCTAAACACACACACACAGGAAATTAGACTACAATTAAAGGTCAAAAATAGATTACAACTAAAGGTCAAAATTAGATTACTAATAAAGGTCAAAATTAGATTACTAATAAAGGTCAAAAATAGATTACTAATAAAGGTCAAAAATAGATTATTAATAAAGGTCAAAATTAGATTACTAATAAAGGTCAAAATTAGATTACTAATAAAGGTCAAAATTAGATTACTAATAAAGGTCAAAAATAGGTTGCGACTAAAGATCGAAATTAGATTACAACAGCTGAACATGTTTCTTCAACAGAGCATGTAAGTGATTGGTAGAATTACAAAATTTTAGATATAGGACAGAATCATATCAGTGGGATATTTTTAGAAGGATGGCATACAGCAATCAAATGTATAACTCTTGTAAATGGAGAAACTGGTTGACACTTCATTGGACCCCCAGTGGCACAACGGTAAGTCTGAAAACTTATAATACTAAAAAAAACCCGGGTTTCAGTATTCGTGGTTGGCTTTGTGTTTAACTACAAACAAATACAGTATGTTCCCCATTGCTCAAGTGTACAAACCTTCGTTGACATTAATAGAGAAGCCTATAGATGACACTATTTAAATTTAAGTATTGATGTCACTCCACAATTTGTCATACCCTTGCGAACGACTTCCAGTCTTAGTTAAAATGTCAGATCAGGCTGTCCTTATTCTTTTGGTTCAGTGGTTCTTAACTTTTTTTGGGAAACCTCACCCATTTGGTTTACAGAATATGTCCTCACACCCCTTGTTTTTCAGGATTTGTTTATAGTTCTCTTATGTTTAATTATGTATCGTCTATAACCAATAGAAAGTCAGTGTTTCCATCTATTAAATGACTTATTATATTACCTTGTGTTCTGAACGAGTGATCTTGGCACCTTGTGTTCTGAACGAGTGATCTCGGCATCTTGTGTTCTGAACGAGTGATCTCGGCATCTTGTGTTCTGAACGAGTGATCTCGGCACCTTGTGTTCTGAACGAGTGATCTCGGCACCTTGTGTTCTGAACGAGTGATCTCGGCAGTCCATGGGAGAAATCCTATTTGTAATGGAAACACCAACATGTAACATTTGTAACACCAACATGTTTTGCATCCCCAGAAATGACATTTTGCACCCCTAATGGGTGCGTGCACCACAGGTTAAGAAATACTGTTTTAGTTGGTGTTATTTTAAATTTATACTAGGTTTTATTGTCTCAGTAGTTTATGTCTGTTTTTGTACTTATATATTGTTATCAACTGTTCAATCTTGAAGTTGTGCAAGTATAAATGTATATATATATATATATGTGTGTGTGTGTACCCTTTAGGTTGTTATCAACTGTGCAATCCTAAAAGGATTAAAATACAACAAGGCTACAGCAACCTTTCACCAGTGGCGGGACAACCGACAGGTATACGGCCTGAACTTCAGTAGCAAAGAAGAAGCCGAAGCTTTCTCTCTCACGATGCAGAGAGCACTGGAAAAACTAAATCAAAATAATGGTATGCTTATTTTTTAAACTCGCATGTTACAATGTGTAAAATTAACGTATTTTCAATTCTTGAAATTCCAGATTTTTGAGAAACTCACAAATAAAAGTGTTTGATATCACATCAATTAGATGATTTTTCACCTCAACAAATCTTAATTAACTTTTAATTCTTTAATTTGTGTTCTTATGATTACATCACCACTAATTAGAGACCACTATTAGTCCCCCCCCCCCAGTATCTGCCGAGTATCATGATATAAAGATGTGATTATTAACTCTCATTATCTTTTATATTTGAAACACTTTACATGTCAAAGGATTTATATTTCCTAATAATAAGCAATATAAACAAGACGTACATATGTGTGTGGATCTTTACCACTGATATTGTAGAATAGATGAATTTATATTAAACTCGGTACAGTTATCCTACCCCCGTATTGTCAGATACTTTGTGCCAATTTTCGAGTCTGAGATTAGCTGTAATGTGACAAACGCAGAAAGCTAAAGTAAAAAATACACCGATCCCAAGGTAATATTCTTGTCATTTTCAGTCTATGTAGACATCTGTGCTGTTTTCCAACATGCTAAGGGAAGAAACCATTCCAGTGGCACAGCGGCATGTTTGCGGACTTAAAATGCTAGAATCCGGGTTTCAATACCTGTAGTGGGCAGAGCACAGATAGCCCAATCACACTTTTGAATAATTAAGTTAGATTTAGATTCATTCAAACACACCATAATTCTTTAAATGTTAACCAACAGATGAAATAATTTGTGAAATGATGTGTAGTTGTGAAGACAAATGCTTAGTGAAAATACAGTACAAAACTCCAGGATTCTGAACAACTAATGAAAAGGAAAACTTATGCCATTACATAATATGAAACAGACCATAGATTAGAAGAATTATATAATTGCTGTCTTGTAAATGCTGAAGAAGTAAAAATTAGAACAAATCAGCCTTCGCCATAACAATACACTCCTATGCAGGAGTCGCTACCACATCAGGACATCCTGGTACCTAAGTGGTTGCATATTTTCATTTCCTAGTCCCAAAACATCATCTTAGACCTTATTAAGGAGCACTCAGATACCCACAAAATATAGTTCAACTAAACCTAAACAAGGTGTCTGTACAAGTCTTTTTAAGCCACTGATTTTAAATTACCAGATATGTCTCTCTTTTAAATAATTTATAACATTTAATCTTAGGGTGTCATGACATTTAAGTTGGTATTCTGTGTTTCAGTGACAAAGCCTCCTCCACCTCCTCCTGTACCAAATCATCAGTATGAGCAACAACAGCCTGTTTATCAACAGATAGGGGATTCCATTCCAGATGACCATAAGTTTGGGTGAGTTAAGTCATCTTCATTCATTGTAGAGAAAGTGTTAAATGAAAGGAAGGGTTAAACTTTGTCATTATTTTTCATGTAGTCAGATATTTCAAACGAGTTTTCGAATAAGAATAATGTTCAAGTATATACTAACATCAAAAAGAAATTATGAATTATGGGACTTTTTTTTTAGAATTCATCATGCTACTAAGTGGCTGCTTTGAAAACTAAAGTAATTTTTCTGGAGGATATATTATTATTTAAATCTGTGAGTCCGCTGAGTGACACAATGCAGACTTTCAAATAGTGAGACAAGCTGGTTCATTAAATGGAGTTAACTTGGAGTTATTTTTCTTACAAAAGTGTTGTTAACTACATTTTGTACTGAGTAGAGTGAGTGTTCAGAACAAAGAATGTTGTAGTGTAGGAGTAATTATGTTGTCATCTGATTGTTGTACTGGGTAGAGTGAGTGTTCAGAAAAGTATAAGTTCTGATCAATATTGCAGTCAGTGCAGAGGAAAAAGTGATATTAACTTAATTTCATATTAAAATTTTCATTTCATTTTACATTGATGATTTTGCTACAATTATTGTTACGGTAGAAAAAATAAGTGAGTATATAAAATTTTAGTAGAACAAATACTTTTTATATTCATTTAGGAGGTTCTAGAGATTATGCAAATGAAATATGAAAATTGTAAAGTGAAAAAAATGTTTTTATTCTGAGTATGAAAATCAGCATTGAGTCAGACTGATTCAGTAATTTTGGAAATTCACGAACAGATCTTTGGTAAAAATAGTTTATTAAAAAGTCAGATTTTTTGTTTACAATAGGCTTTTAATGTTTACTTAAAGCTTACCAAAGTTTGTGAAGATACACTTAGTAAATTCAGAATTATAGTAAACATTAATTTGCAGATACAGGATTAGTCCTTGAACAGATGTTGGAATATCTTGTTTTTAAGCTGTTTCCTGTATATTATCTAACACTGATAATGAACCATATTGGTGTAGTACTGTTTTCATGTTTATAAGAATGTTTTATAGTATTATGTTTTGAGTTTTTATCTTGAATTGTGATTTGTTTTGGGAAGGTATTTACCATAATTTTTCTGGTTACAGAACCAAAGAAGACACTGGAGGTGAAAGAAAACAAAGCTTAGTTCAGTATAGTAACAATTCAGGTGAATATTTTATCTGTGTAAAGAAAAGTTCCTTTATATTGGCTTTTTTATTAATTAAATATACAATAAGCAGCTTGGTTTTTTTTTTAGAATGCTCTATCCATTTCTACGATTACTAGAGGCAGAGCAGCATCCTATTTTTATTTCCCTGTTTCTTAGGGACTTCGTCAAGGCCTTTCTAATCATCCATTCTTTTTGTTCATTTCTTCTTGACTGGTACCTCTGTTTAGGGTTCTCACAAGTCCTCTAGATGAAATTCTGCTTTAGGTTGTTGTGAACGACTGCATTCACACTATGGTTTTGTGATCCCTTCAATCCACACCTCGGATGTTGCCTTTTGGACTTCTACAGGTAAATCACAAGGATTGTCCTTTTTGGTGTTGCTTTCTTTCTTTTATAAATCTGGTGGTTCAAAATGCATCATTCTCTCGTTATTGGTAGGATCCTATCCCAAAGATATATGTATATATATATATATCTGTGGTCCAACTACCCTGGCCACCAACATGGGATATGGGTACCATGACCCCTCAAATCCAACCTGAGTTGTGGAACCTCAGTTATTCACAGTTTCTTTACTCCTTACAAAAAGAGAACCCTCTGAGAGGTTGTAATTGCTTCATATGGAATGTTTCTTTATCTTAAAATGTGCAGGGGTTAACAGATAGTGTTAAGCCCTAGTTTACTCTTACAAGTGTATTTTCACATGATTAGAACTACAGGTCTTCATGTTTCAGTTCTTTTCTCAAATAATTATTATTAGTTTTTTTGTGTAAGCCATCCCTGTTGTGTCCTATGGTAATAGGTGTATGAAATATGGTTAACTTGATACCAGAATTAAAATATCATAATGTTTGTTGATTAATATAGGATCACAAAGTTGGACAAGTATAAGTTAGTTGAACGGTATAAGAAATTTGGAAATATTCCGAGAAACTGTGAAAATACTTGGTCTTTTGTGATGGTGTTTTAGTTTTTATTTGTTATTTTCAATGAAGAATTAAAAAAAGACACCTGAAATTTATTGAGAGGCCTTTGAGGCATGCAAGATAAATTGTATCTTGTTCTTACTCTTACTTATCATCAGCCTATGTTTCCTGATTCGCAGTCTTTGTTGATTAAAAGAGCTCAAAATATTTCAAGAGCTGTTGCTTTTGAGACACCTTCTTTTTTTTTCTATTCTTTAAATAGTTTCGCTGAATATAAGGCTTAGCGTGGTCGAGACATGACTTGCAATTTAAGGGTCACGGATTTGAATCCCATCACCCGTCCTTTTAGCCTTGGGGATGTTATAATGTTATGGTCAATCCAATTTTTCATTGGTAAAGAGTAACCCAAGAATTGGTGATGGGTTGTGCTGACTATCTGGACTATCACATCAAAATTAGGGACAGCTAACGCAGCTAGCCTAGCCGTTAAGTAGCTTTATGTGAAATTCATAAACAAGCAAACTTTAAAGATCATATCTATTTGCTGTTAAGTTTATTAAATCATTAATCAGTTTATGTTAAAAATGTGTTAGCTTCAGGATTTAATATTCAGTGAATTGTCTTTTTTGTTTTATTACAGTGGGGAACAGTCACCCACCTACCTCACCCCAACAGAATGGCCATCAGCGTACTTCTTCGGGACCTGCTGCTCCTCCAGCCCCACCTCCTCCTCCCATGCCAGTAATGTCAGCTGTTCCTCCTCCACCTCCACCACCTCCTCTCAGTGCAAAAGCTCCACCTGCACCACCACCTCCACCCATGAGTGGAGCACATACTTTGCCACGCACAGGTCCAAGTTCAGAAAGTGGTGGAATTGGGGGATCGTCGCTAGCAGCTGCACTACAGGGAGCTAAACTTAGGAAAACTTCTTCTAAGGTTTGTAACAAATAGTGGTTAAATTTCAAAAAACTACTCCGATGGTTATAGATCAGAAAAGAAATGTGTCACAAACGTCGGTTTTCAAAATGTAATGCTCTATCAGATTGTGATAAAATATTGATCATAACATAATAAAGCTATTTTGTAATCCTGTCTTGATTGATAATAACACAAACATTTCTCCGGAAATCAATTTATAAGATAACTATTAAAATATCATCATATTGGAAAACAGTATTTAAAACACAATTTTTTACTGTAAATATACACAAAAAATATTAGTATTTGAACAAGAATACCAATAAGAAAATTTTTGTTATTTGAAGTACAATATATATTTGTTTTTTTTCTGGCTTGAGTGTTATTTGAGGTTTGTTTCTTTTTCTGGCTAGGGTGTTCTTTGAGGTACAGTATATATATATTTTTGTGGCTAGAGAGTTATTTAACATTACGTTATATTCTGGGACAACATGGGACCTAGTGGTCCATCTTTTCTGTTCCATCCTCAAAACTAAATTAAAATTATTCAAAAAATTTCAAGCCACCCTTTTCATTCATATACTTATCAAGCTTTTTCTTAAACTCACTTAAATTTACTGTTCAACTCACTAAATGATCTAAATCCTTTTGTTAAGCAGCAGCATCCTCCACCCAAGATCTTAATATTGACCATTCCTTCATCTATGTCATTGGTGTAAATCAAAAAAGAGCAA